CCTGCGTGTGCGAGGGTCTAGTTATTCCTCACCACACCCTCACCAACATATATTATTTTGTGATTTGCTTTTTTAAATTTAATTTTATTTATTATTTTTATTTTATGTGTATGAATGTATTGCCTGCATGTAGGTAAGTGCACCCATGTTAGGAAATGCCCTTGGAGGACAGAAGAGGACATCAGATCCTCTAGAACTGGAGTAACAGATGGTTGTTAGCCTCCATGTGCCTGCTGGGATTCGAACCCAGGTCTTCTGTAAGAACAGCTGGTGCTTTTAACCACTGAGCCATCTCTCTACCCTCTCTGGTTTGCCTTTTTAAAAAATTAAATTACACCGGGTGTGGTGGCGCACGCCTTTAATCCCAGCACTCAGGAGGCAGAGGCAGGTGGATCTCTGTGAGTTCAAGGCCAGCCTGGTCTACGCAGTGAGTTCTAGGACAGCTGGGGCTACAGTGAGACCCTGTCTCAAAAAGACCAAAAAAAAATAGTTTTAAAAGTTTTATTTATTATTTATTTTTATGTGTATGAGCGTTTTGCCTGCACGTGTATAAGTGCACCTGTGCATGCAATGCCTACGGAGGTTAGAAGAGGACATCGGATTCCTAGAACTGGAGTCACAGGTGGTTGTTGGGTGCCACGTGTGTAGTGGGAACAGAACTTGGGTGCTGCAAGAGCAGCCAGCATTCATAACCACGGAGCCATCTCTCCATCCCCCTGCTTTTAAAAAAATACTTATTTTTAATTATGTGTATACTAGTGTGTCTGTGTACATGAGATCATTGGCCGTAAGAGTGGGGATTTCTGTTGGTCTGCTGTTCTGTCGTTAAGACGGCAGCTCACTGTGCTGACAGTTGCAGCTTAGTCTTAATCTGCTTTGAAATCAGAGAGTCAGCCCCCAATTTTGTTTTGTTTTTTTTTAAACTGATCTGAGTCTTGGGATCTTTTAAGAGTTCATGTGAATTTTAGGATGGTTGTTTTTCTATTTCTGCAAAATATGCCTTTGGATTCTGAGTGGGATTATGTGGACTCTGTGGGCTGCGCTGGGGAGTGTGGACATCTTAGCAATACTGTCTTCCAATCCATGAACACAGGATGTCTTTGAATTTAATTGTGTCTTCTTAAATTTCTTGCCCCTCTTTGGTTAGGTTTATTACTCGATATTTTAATGCTGACGTAAATTAGAAGTGTTTAAATTTCCTTCTTTGTTTTGTTTTTGGATTTTTGAGATGGGGTCTCATGTAGCCCAGGCTGGCCTTAAACTTGCTATGTCACTGAGGATGACTTGAAACTCCTTAATTCTCCTGCCTCTACCTCCCCGTTGCTGGGATGACAGCTTGAGCCACTGTTCCTGGCTTAATTTCCATCTTTAGGGTGTTCAAAGCCGAACATGTTGCTGTGACTTTATATCTTTAAGCCGCTGATTTTGTTTACCACAGAGTCTTCAGAGTGAGAAAAGCATTTTAATAAAACCTGATTCAAAGCCTTTTCTGCCAACCTTCTAGAATTTTGGCTTATTTATTTATTTATTTATTTATTTATTTACTTAGGTGCAGGGGATCAAACCCAGGGCCTTGTACATGCTAGGCAAGTACTCTACCACCGAGCTATACATCTTCAGCTCTTTCTTTTTCTTTTCTTTTTTTTTTTGTCTTTTTTGAGCCAGGGTCTCCCTGTAGCCCCTGCTGGCCTGGAACCCACTATGTAGACCAGGCTGGCCTTGAACTCACGGAGATCCGCCTGCCTCTGCCTCCCTAGTGCTGGGATCAGAGGCGTGCACCACCACGCCCAGCCTTCAGCTCTCTCTTAAGCGTTTTGTTTTATTTTGTTTTGAATTTTGTCCTTTTGAGATACAGTCTCCCGAAGCCCCAGCTGGCCTGGAACTCACTATGTAGAACTCACTATGGATCTCATAGAGATCTGCCTTGCCTCCGCCTGCCTCCACCTCCCAAGTGCTGGGTCTAAAGGCATGCACCACGACGCCGGGCTAGAACTTGTTCTCGAGCTTGTTAAAGCCATCTGAGCGATTATTTCCCCTGAGCCTGGGTTTTCTCACTTAATATTTTCTAGTTTCATCCATCTTTCTGCAAATGATAAAATTTCATTTTTCTTTATGGCTGAATAAAATTCCATTGTGTAGCTGTACCTCATGTCATTGTCCGTTCATCAGCTGGTGGGGGTCTAGGCTGGCTCCATTTCCTGGCTGTCATGAATCAAGCCACAATGAACATGGATGTGCAAGCACCTGATCAGCATTTGGTGGCAGGTAGATACATGTAGGGCGCAGAGCTTCCGGTAACCCTGCTGTTCAGAAGCCCCGTCTGCAGCCCATTGATTCCATGGGACCACTGAGGCTGAGCAAGGCTATCCCTTGGGGTGGCTGGGAGGTTTCCACCTGTTTTCAACCTCCAGGGTGAGGGAGCATGAGCTTCTACTGGGAAGAAACTAGACCCATCCTTAATTCCACTGTTTCAAGAGGGAAAACCGTAAGACACCCAGATAAGCAGGGATCTGTGAACCAGGCAGGCACGCGGAGTTCTCCAAACTTTCTCTTTGCCAGGACAGAGAGGACTCTGTGGCAACCTACCATCTTCCATTTAGGAGTATTTTCTTTGGCACCTGCCATGGGCCAGGCTGGTCATGAAAGAATAGAGACCCAGGCATGGCCACCTTGGGTCCCACTGAAGACAGGAGACCGCAAAAGTCTGTGTATGCTGCCCCATCTCGTGCTTGGCTAGATGCAAAGTGTCTGAACAGGGACCCAGGATCCGGTGGGTTTTCAAAGTGACTTTCCTTGTTTCAGAATGAAGCTGGCTTTGAGCCCCAAGCGCCTTCGGGGCTGTCTAAAATTAGCACCCGGTGACAAGGCAGTCTTTGTTAGGGGCCTACAGCTTGCACTGGGGAAGCAGGGAAATGCCAACAGTACAATTTCTGCATCAATTTTGATTTTTCTGAGACTGGGAAAGTGGTAACTGTGCTGTTTCACAGGCTTTTAGAACCAGTTTCTCAGCAGCAGTTTGATTACAGTGTCAGGTTCATAAGGTGCTAGTTTTGTGGTCAGTTGTCAAAGCAGCTCTCCTTCCTTTCCCTAATCAGCACAGATGTCTGGGGAGCAGGATTGCCTACAATTTCTGCATCAATTTTGATTTTTCTGAGACTGGGAAAGTGGTAACTGTGCTGTTTCACAGGCTTTTAGAACCAGTTTCTCAGCAGCAGTTTGATTACAGTGTCAGGTTCATAAGGTGCTAGTTTTGTGGTCAGTAGTCAAAGCAGCTCTCCTTCCTTTCCCTAATCAGCACAGATGTCTTGGGAGCAGGATTGCCCGGCTCCTGGCCTTCTGTATCTTTTAGGTGTCCCTATGGTGAGCTGAGCAGAGGTCCTGGGCTGGACTGTGCCTTTGAGGGCACTCACTCACACATTCCAAGACTTTCCTGAAAGCTGGGAAGTGGGCATCAGTTGTTGGATGTATAAGTTGCGTGTATCTAAACCAGTATGTGTGGAAAGATCATATCTTCCTGAGCAAGGCATCCCTCATGCTGGGTATGGTCCCCAGGGCATGTGAGTGTGTGAATATGCCTTTCCAGGACCTGGGTGCTCCTCCTGACACCTGTTTCTCCATCAGCAGGGGGCACTATTTACGGTGTCCCCACCCCTGCATGGCTATGATAGATGGGATGTGGGTGAAGATCTCAACCCAGGGATGGGAGATAGGTTGTGCTGTCATTTCTGTGGGCTTGGGTCCCAGCTCCCAGAACCCAGCTCTCATTGACGTGGCTTTGAGATTGATAGACTTGGCATGTAGCCACCTCAAATTGGTGCATGAGCTGTGCCCATGACTCCCCACCTGCTTCCCAGGGATCGAAGAGATTTGGGGCATCTTAAAATGAGAGCCAGGTCTCTGGATGGTGGAACATCTGACTGTGGCCTTATTTGGGAATCGGGTCCTGGCCGATGGGACTGAGTTAGGGTGTGCTGTTAGTTACTGACTCCTTGCCATGACCAAACACCTGACAAACGTGGCTTCAGGAAGGAAGGCTTTATTTTGGCTCACAGTTTAAAGATGCAGTCCTTCATGCCAAGTAGGCATGGCCTGAGGCAGCTGGTCACATGCATCCACAGTCAGAAAGTAAAGAGAGGTGAGTGCTGGTGTTCGCCTTGATTTCTCCTTTTTATTCAGCCCAGGACCCCAGCCTGTGGGATGGTGTCACCCACAGTTAGGATGGGTCTTCCCACCTCAACTAACCCAATCTAGAAACTCCCTCAGACACACCCAGAGGTTTGTCTCCTAGGTGATTCTAGATCCTTCACGCTGATAGTCAGTGTGAACTGTCTTAGGTGTTGAAATGTGGTTCTTCAGAGTTAGTACAGATCCTGAACCTAATAGCATCCTAGTAAGAAACAGAAGAGAAGATTTAGAGAGGCCATGGGATGAGGAGACACGGAGAGGGGCCACGGGATGAGGAGACACGGAGAGGTGAACCTAATAGCATCCTAGTAAGAAACAGAAGAGAAGATTTAGAGAGGCCACGGAAAGAAGAAGCATAGAGAGGCCACGGGATGAGGAGACACGGAGAGAGGTCACAGGAAGAGGGAGGCAGATGCTGAACAACACAGACACATGCTGAGCCCAGAGTTGAAAGACCCCAGGAAGGAGCCTCTGAGTACCCAGGGGTATGATTCTGTCACACCTTGATTTGGGGTTGTGAACCCTTAGAACGGATAGAGTTCATTTCTGTTGTTTTAAATCACACAGTTTCTGGTCACATGTTTGGCCACAAGGGAACCAGCTTGGTTACTCTAAGATCTGAGGCCTGGAGATAGAGAATACACTGTCTCCTGCTCTCAAAGGACCTTAAAGAGTCCTAGGCTAGCTCATTTAAATTCACCTCAGAAGACACCATTTCTTAGTGGCAATCTGGCCAGACCCAGCACTGCTGGTCCTGTGCCTGGACCTCAGTCTGATTGCAGCCGTGCCTGAGCCTGTGGCCTTGCTGTCCCTAGGTTCGGGCCATACGGCTCTCCTTTGTTGGGGAGCTGGGCTGGGAGCTGCACATCCCCCGAGCATCCTGCGTGCCTGTGTACCGGGCTGTGATGGCTGCTGGGGCCAAGCACGGCCTTGTCAATGCAGGGTATCGCGCCATTGACTCCCTGAGCATCGAGAAAGGTGAGCACGGCATCCGGATGCCCCTGGGAAGCCGTGCTAGGCTTCAGGAGGCAGAGAAGCTGAGGGCTTTCCTCTCGCGAGCAGCTTACTGGTCATACTGTGACTGACTCTCCTTCCCAACCTTGTCCATTTTCTCAAACTTTGCTCACTGCCTATGCATGGGGTCTCCCACACAGGCCCCAGAGGTGGAGCTGGGGTTCCCAACACCTGCACATAACTGGACTCAGAGAGGTGAGGCTGCCTAGAACCCCAGGGGAGCAGGCCACAGTGCGATTTGAATTCAGCACTGTGAGTTCCTTGAACTTTGTGTGTGTGCTGGGGTTTGAATCCAGGTCCTCATATGTGACTTAAGCAGGTGTTCTACCACTGAGCTGTACCCAGCCATCTCCTGAAGGATAAAAACTAAGAGTGGCATGGGGTGCTAGAGGGTGGGCCACCTCGCGCCCCCTGTGTGGTGATGGCGCCTCGGAGATGGACCTGTACCTCCCCTGGGGCTTCTTACTCCCCTTCCCAGGTCCACCTACCTCCCACCCTGATGGTGCAGGGGACTGAAACACTCATGGGACTAGTCTGCTCTGGGAGTTCACGTAGGGGAAACTTCTGGAGTCCGGGATCCATCTCTAAACTCCTGGGCTGCCCACTGCTCAGCAACAGTGAAGGTGGAGATTTGGGACTTGGGTGTGTGGGTGTGGACAGCACTCAGTGTGTCTTCTGAAGGGCTTGTGGCCCACCTCAGCTGGGCACTCACCAGTGGCCTCCCTGTCCCACAGGCTACCGGCACTGGCATGCGGACCTGAGGCCTGATGACAGCCCTCTGGAGGCAGGCTTGGCCTTCACCTGCAAGCTCAGGTCTTCGGTGCCCTTCCTGGGCCGTGAGGCCCTAGAGAAGCAGCAGGCCGTAGGCCTCCCCCGACGCCTGGTATGCCTCACCGTGGAGGAGTAAGTATCCTGGCCTATCAGGTGACTGCCCTCACCAAAGAGGTAGCACCTACCATGCCCAGTCAGAACCCCTGGGACTGATACATCATACCTGCCCCCCGCCCCCCCGCCGCCGCCAGCTTCCATTCCCCAGAACGCATACTAGTCCATTGCAGGCCGGGGGAAACTGAGTACCAGGAGACCTGCATCTAGTCGTGTCTCCTGCTAGTAAAGGCAGAGCTGGCATGTAAACTCAGAGTCCTCCAGGGACACACTGGGGCAGAGGTGGGTGAGGGTGATGGGGTGGGTCAGCAGGGCCCCGGGGGCATAGAGAAGGCTGACCCTTTGCTAATGAAGGCTTCAGAAGGGAAAGACACTGCCAGGCCAGGCAGTCTCTCTGTGGTGGGTAGAGCCAAGCTCCGTGATTTGGAAGGATGAACCCAACTTTGAAGCTGGTGCCCGTCACTCTGTTGCCACCTCTCGACCTGCTCCAATTAAATCCTGATCAGGTAGGGACCAGGTTGGAGACACTGTCCCCATGTGCAAATGAGGACCACAGTGTGCCGGGGACAGGGACTTATACCCAGTCACACAGCAAAGGTGGAAGGAGAGACCCTTTCGGGGGGACATAGTCTTCCACTCAGCCCGCCAAGGAGCGGCTTTGAGCGTGTTGCTGGTGGGATCGAGGCCTGAGTGCTCTAGGTTACTGAGAGAGTCTGGATCCTGGGGGCCTGGGTTCTACCGGGGCCAGAGTGCTTACACACTGGGTGGTGTGGGTGGCCCATAGGAATCCTCTTAGCAACTGTCTCCAGGAGGGGGAGAGGCTTTGGGCACGTTGCTATGCTGCCGACAGCTGCAAACACTGCCACTTTGCTCCTTGTGCCAAAAGTGACAAGAGGCAGAGCTGAGGTTTGTCCTCCTGTGGCTTCTCCCAGGCTCTCGTATACTTTGCAGAGGGGTCTCACTGGTGGAGCTGGACCTCTGGGGTCCCCTGACCCTCCGTGAAGCACCTGGGCCTGCTGTGTGACTCCAGAGCAGCGGAGGGACCCCTGTCCTGCTCAGGGGTGCCCTGCCTGGTGCCACTGCTCTTGCCCTTAGAGCATAAAGTGGCATGTCCCCTGCTGTTTGGAGGGACCCTGGGGGAGTCGGGAACCCCTGTGAGGCCACTTCTTCCCAAGGAGGATGACTGGAGTTGGTGGGGTAGGGAGTTCACTTAACCTTCATCCCAGCCCTCATCCTCTGGCTGGTGGGACCCACACGGTGTGGCTCTGAGTTGCAGACCCAGGGAGCATCGGAACCTGCCATGGTCCTTGTTATTCTAAGAAGACTTCATTACCCCAGTGCGGTGATGCCAGCCCAGGGACGCTGTCTGCAGGTGGTACCAAATGCTCCTGTCACTTGGCACTGGCATCTCTTGTCTACTATTTTCAATTTTCAAAAACTTGATGTCAAGTAGTGATATCGTACGTACCTGGACTGAAGACCTTTATGTGAACCATGCATCATGCAGTGAAAAGCAGAGGACTCTAACCCTCCCAAATAAGCTTCATGGGGTGACATTGAGGTCATTCAAAAGCTAAATGGAGCAGAATTGACATAATCCCTATCAAAAATCCCAACGTTTGTCACAGAACTAGAAATACAACCCCAAACTCATAGTGGAAAGAGAAAACCCCTGAATGACCAAAGCAAAACAGGGCAAGGCCTGAGGAGCCGCCACACCTGAGCTCCAGTTCCGCTACAGAGCCGTGCGGCAAGCCCAGCATGGCACTAGCACAAGGACGGACCGACGCGACAGAACAGAATAAACCCCACACCTGCTACAGCCCTGGGTTCTCAGCAAAGGTGGTGGTGAAAAGCTGCCAGACAGAAGGCAGCCACTTCAAGAAACAGAAACACATACCTGCGTCTCACCCTGCCCCAAAGTAAACCCAAAATGGACAAGAGACATCCACACAAAACCTGAAACTCTAAAGCTGCCAGACGGAAACAGAGAGAACACTAAAATGCAAATGCAGGCGAGACCTCTCTAAAGGAGACCACAGGGAATAATCCCAAGAACTGACAAGTGGGATTGCATGAAACCAAAAACGTCTGAGGCGTGGTGGCGCACGCCTTTAGTCCCAGCACTTGGGAGGCAGTGGCAGGTGGATCTCTATGAGTTCAAGGCTGCAAATGCTGGTATAGATACAGGAGAGGGATGGGATGTGAATGACTCCAGCCCCTTGGAAATCGGTGTGGAGGCTGCTGGAGAAACCAGTTGGAGCCAGTGTATCACCAGCTCTGCCACTGCAGGGTCCGCACCCAAAGGACTCAAGTCAGCCTGTCACAGAGATAATTGCACATCCCTGTTTACCTCAGCACTCTCTGCATAGCCAATGTGTGGAACCAGCCCAGATGCCCATCAGTAGATGAATTTTCAAGAAAGTATGGTGCATATACACAATAGAATATTATTCGTCTATGAATAAGAATGGAATATATATATAGTGGGGTTTTACTTATTTTTTTAAAAATATCTTAATATTGCCGGGCTTAGTGGCATATGCCTGTAGTCCCAGCACTTGGGAGGCAGAGGCAGGTGGATCTCTGTGAGTTCAAGGCCAGCCTGGTCTACGTAGTGAGTTCCAGGACGGCTGGGGCTACAGGAAGACCCTGCTTCAAAAAGACAAAAAAAATTAATATTTATTTTATGTAAATGAGTATATTGTTGGCATGTATATGAGTACACCCATGTCATGCAATGCCCATGAAGGTCAGAAGAGGGTGTTCGATCCACTGGAACTGGAGTTATGGATGGTTGTTAGCCACTATGTGGGTCCTGGAAACTGAACCTGGGTCCTCTACAAGAGCAGCTTACCCACTGACCCATCTCTCTAGCCCCTATGTATTTTCATGTTGTTGATGCTTTGTGGGTGTATGTGCATGTGTGTGTGGTGTGTGTGCGGAGTGTGCGTGTCTGGTGTGCTGTGTGGAAGGCAGAGGAGAACTCCCGGGTCTTCCTCTGTTGCCCTGCTCGCTGCCTGGTTACTTTGAGACTGAGCTGGAGCCTCGCTAATTTGGCAAGGTCGGCTGGCTGTCAAGCTCTCGGATTCCACCCATCTCAGTCCCACCATGCTGGAGTTGCAGGCATGTGATATGAAAGTGGGAGGGAGGCCGGGCGTGAAGGCGCACGCCTTTAATCCCAGCCCTCAGGAGGCCGAGCAGGTGGATCTCTGTGAGTTTGAGGCCAGCCTGGTGTACATGTGAGTTCCAGGCCAGTCAGGGCTATGTAGTAAGACTTTTTCTCCAAAAACAAGAAAAGTAGGGCTGGAGAGATGGTCAGCAGTTAAGAACTCTGGCTGCTCTTGCGGAGGATCTGGGTTCAGTTCCCAGCACCCACATGTACCCAGAGATGCTAGCAACTCTCTGTAACTCCAGTGATATGAAAATGGGAGGGAGGCTGGACGTGAAGGCGCACGCCTTTAATCCCAGCCCTCAGGAGGCCGAGCAGGTGGATCTCTGTGAGTTTGAGGCCAGCCTGGTGTACATGTGAGTTCCAGGCCAGTCAGGGCTATGTAGTAAGACTTTTTCTCCAAAAAAAGAGAAAAGTAGGGCTGGAGAGATGGTCAGCAGTTAAGAACTCTGGCTGCTCTTGCGGAGGACCTGGGTTCAGTTCCCAGCACCCACATGTACCCAGAGATGCTAGCAACTCTCTGTAACTCCAGTTCCAGGGAATCTGACACCGTCTTCTGACCTCCATGGGTACCGTGTATCATGGGGACACTTGCATGCATACAGGCAATACACACATACACATAAAACATTTAAACATTTTTTTAATTAAAATTTTTTTAAACTAGAAAGGGGAGGGATTAAGTGGGAAGAGGGTGACCAGTGCGGGGGACAAGGGAGGGTCACTGGGTGTGAGCAGGAAACTAATGGGAGAAGGGAAAGCGCTGGGCTGGTCTGACTCCTCAGGGCTTCCATCAACTTTACAGTCGAAGTTCATTCCCAGCCTGTGCCCTGGCATCCTAGGCCGAGTGCCAGGATGCAGGGGCTAGCAGGGCCCCAGCAGGCAGCTGTACTCATCCTGGGTCCATGCTCCAGCAGGCACAATCCAGCTGCCCCTCCTCCCCAGGTCAAACTGGTGTGTTTGCACTGTGACCCAGGGCCCCAGCCATCTTCCTGCTTCTTCCAGGAAAGTCCCCATGTTTGGCCTGGAAGCCATCTGGAGAAGTGGCCAAGTGGTGGGCCACGTCCGGAGGGCCGATTTCGGGTTCACTGTGAACAAGACCATTGCCTATGGTTACATCTGCAACCCCAGTGGTGGGCCGGTGAGTCCCATTCCCTGTCCTAGCTAAGGCCCATCCCTCCCCAGGCTCTGTACAAGACCATCTGCATCAGACCCTGGGAGCATAGGGAGGAGGGAGGGACGAGGAGGAAGCACAGGTCGAGGGAGGAGTGCCCAGGCCCCGTCTCCCCAGAGTCCTGGCTGTTGTTCATTTATCTCCAGAAGAAGCTGACTTTGCAGCTCCAGGCTTTTCTTGATCAACAGGAGGTGCAGGTCCCAGGCCAGCTCTCTGGTCCAGAGGCCAGAGATCATATCTTGAACCCACCTTCTGCCTGGGGGTGGACCCCAGGGCTACCAAAGACCCCAGCTCTTCCTCCCCTACCGTTCCTTCTTACTACAGATACCTCAAGGCCACCAGGTGAGCCAGGAACCCTGACCACAGAGGCCGGGGCAGGCAAAGCAGCAAGACCCAAGCGCTGCCCTGGGAGGCAGGCTGTGTACCAGGGCAACCTGGTCGGTCACAAGGCATTTCCAGCAGCACCCCTAGCAGGGAAGAGATGGCCTTGGCCTCTTCCCATCTCTCTAGCCATGGGTGTGTAGGGGTACAGTAAGTAGGGCCATATCTTTCCACAATACCTAGGCATTCCCAGGGGGATATGTGCTTTTGCCAAAGCCTCACTGAGGCCTCCCATGCCCCAGCACCAGGCCTTGTGGCGCTAGCCAGGCTCTGCCCTCCCCTGAGATCCAGACAGGTTGGGCCATGGTGCTCACCCAACTGGAGGGAGGAGGAATCAGACTGGGTAAGGGGTGAGGCCTGGTGGCTCCTACAGGGCCTGGGGATGACCTGACAGGTAGAACCTCAGGGACGGGTGTTGGGGGTGCTGGTGCGTAGGAACCCTGTGCTGGGGTGAAAGGATCAGGACATGCACTTCGCTTGAAGCCAGCGGTCTTTAGGGCTCTGGCCTTTTCTTGCTCTGTGACCATGGACCAGGGGTTCCTCTGGAAGGTTCACCTATAAAAAGAACACTCCCTTTAGCTAGGCGTGGTGGCACACCCCTTTAATCCCAGCACTCGGGAGGCAGAGGCAGGCGGATCGCTGTGAGTTCAAGGCCAGCTTGGTCCACATAGTGAGTTCCAGGTCAGCTGGGGCTACAGGGAGACCCTGTTTCAAAAAGACCAAAAAAAAAAAAAAAAAAAAAAAAAAAAAAAAGAACACTCCCACTGTCCTCACAGGAACCCCACATGAACCACCACTCTGAGCAGAACTTGATTGACAGCCATCAAACATTGCAAAGCTGGCCACAGACAAGGACCCCTGGACACTAAGGGTGACCTGGGAGTGAGGGGTTGCCATCTCATCTCTGTGTTCAGGACTCCAGACTATTGATGCCATGGGAGTAAACCAGCCCCTCCCTACTGACCGGTGCCCTAGCCGGATAACCCACATTTCTCAGTGAGACTGAGGAGCCAGGGCAGAAGTCCATGGCTCCCAGGTATTTATCAGCTGGGCTGGGCCAACTCCTGGAATATCTCCCTCTCTACCGGTGAAGGCCCCCGGCCCCCAGCTCTGCAGGGCAGCACACGGTGCGGAGGCCTCACCCTCTTGTCCCTGTCTGCTTTTCTCTTTTTCATTCAGCTCTGAGCCACCCAGAATGAAGGGGGAGCACACCCTAGACCCCTCCAATCTGGACCTGGAGTCCTCACCTATGCAAAGAGCTGGCTTCTTGGGTGACCCAGGAGTGCCCCCTTCCTCTAGCAGTGTAGAGTGTCAGGCCACAGCACTCTTCCTGCCTCAGGAACATCTGCTCCCAGGGCTGACTGTTCCAGAGAGCATGCTGGGAAGGTGGACCCAGAGCATAGGCTGTGTGTATGGGGTGTGTGTGTGTGTGGTATGTGTGTATGTGTGTGTGGTGTGGGGGTCTATGGAGGCTACACTGTACAGAAACCTGTTCCACCTGCCCCGTCCTTCAGGATCGAATCCTGGCCGTGGGACCCTGCCCAACATCAGCAGCATGCTTGCCTAGCTCCAAGACCAAACCAGGCCCCTGTCCCTGCTACCATCTTCTGAGGGAGCTGCAGCTCCTGCATGGGAGAGGGGTCATCCTGAGGGAGGGGGCCTGCCGGCTGTCAGGCCTGGGCTTAGCTGGTCCCAGATGTTCCTGTCTGGCTCATTAGCACAGGTGTCATCTGCTCTGAGCATCTCCTTGGCTCAGAGAAGAGAATTGATACAGGATTGTTTACCATGAGGTGGGAGGGTGGGAACCCAGCATTCCCCACAAACAGCCGAGTGACCCTGTCCCCTTCTCTGTTCCCAGGTCTCGCTGGGCTTTGTGAAGAGTGGGAACTATTCCTTGGAGAGGATGGGGGTCACCTATGCTGCCCAGGTTCACCTCAAGTCTCCCTTTGACCCTGACAACAAGCGGGTTAAGGGAATCTATTGATGGCCTTTGAAGTGGAGGCCACAGCTGCCATGCTGGAAACTGGCCATGCCTCTCACACTGCCTGCTGACTTCTGTAGTGCCCCAATGGCCCTGTGTCCCCAGGCCCAGGCCCCAGGGAAAACATGACCCTCCCTACCCCTAGCTTAGGCCTGGTCCTGTTAACCACCTGGACTCCCAACCAGGACCAGATGAACCAAGATGGATCTTTTCACACAGTGGTTCCAGTCTACTCTAGTTCTCCCAGAATGCACACTGCAAATGTCTTGACTCAAGGGCTCCAGCATCTCAGAAAGTACATGGTTAACTTCATAAGCCCAGGGTGGCAAGGAGGAGGCAGGCAGGCCTCTGCTCCTCACTCAACTGGCTGGCAGCAGGTAGCCAGAGCCCTTGAACAGTAGTGAACTGGAGGAGAGTGGAGCAGGGATTGATTAGCATTGTCTGCCACGGGTGCAGGGCGGACAGCACCGAGATGTGTGCTGGGCTGGTGCAGTCCTTCCTGGGGATGGCTGTTTCTCAGACCCGAGAGAAGCAATCTTAGAAAGCTCCTGCTTTAACCTCCCAGTTCTGCAGGAGAGAAAACCTCCTCAGAGTCGCCAGCCCATGATGTAGGGGAGCCCATGGCGGGTGATTCCGATCAGAAACCTCCTTTGCCCATGCAGAAGTGCTGGCCATTGCCTCAGTTTCCCCAGAAGCCATTGTTCACAGGTCTAGGGATGACAAGCTTGCTGCTGAACATCATCCTACCAGAATGCTCATTCCCCCGGACTTC